CTAAGAATTACCCAGTACTTGCTGATTTCATACCATATGTAAGAGTTTTCATTTCATTTCATTTATTGCAAATACTAACTGTAAGGCTTAAGAGAGGTTAAATAAAGCCTATAAAATTTGTTTTTCCCTTTGCAACCAGTCTTAAACTTCTAAAAGGCCTCAATAGCAACCTCTCCTCCTAAACTTTCAATTAGTCTTATATACTGCCGCATAACTCTACGTTGGTCATATAACAGTACTGCTTTTTCAGTAACCTTCACTGGTTTTTCGTGTTTGCCTAGAATTCATTCTGATCCTAAAAGCTGTCTAACCTTATTATCTACTGTTATATTCCACCTGATGCTTCACACTAAGTTATTCCATCTTGCCACCCTGTGCCTATGTTATATTATCCCTCACCTTGAAAATGCAGATCCCCATTTCAGTTATAGAAATTCTATCCATTCTTCAAGGTTCACCTCCTTCGGAGGTCAAATTCTCCATGAAGCCTTTGCACTTACTCCAAGGAAACGTAAATGCTCCTTTCTTTGAAAATTACGCTTACAGTCCGTGTCCCACTTTAAGGAGTATGCATCTCACTCTTTGGTTTATTTTACCATCATCACTTCTCTTTTCTTTCTTACAGATTTCCAGCAATGGCTTGACTACTGTTAGATCTCAATTTTTATTCAATTTCGAATTCTATATTTATTGAAGCTCGTAAATTTGACATGAGAGTTCCTTGAACAAGTTTGCCACCTTTATAGATGATGAAAATTTATTTTCTTTCTTAAAGTTTGCAAAACAAGCATGGCCAGGATCTCACAAAGCAGTTGCCATCTAATTTTATGAACAACTATAAAATTACTCTATATGACCAAAGTAGGAAAACTATGAAAATAAATTTATTATTTACTATCACACTAATAGTTAATTTATCATAATGGTGTGCATGTTATTGTTTTTTAGAGTAACTAGACAAACAATACAGTTCACTTAAAAAACAATAATTATTATAAGCACATTTTCAGTTCTTTCATTCAGTTATTAATTCCCAACTTCCTATCATCAGAATCAGTGTCAATAGTTTCCCCTAACCTCATGTGATTTTAGCCTCAATACCACCAACACATACACGCATGGAGACAGCAAGGCTCCAAAGGGAACACTGAGTGATTCAAACACTGAATGATTCCTAGTTTACTCAACTTCTCTCCTGAAAGCAACATGTAGGAATAAGGTTCCCCAAAATTCATTCAGTCTTCCGCATACCAGCTACCAAAGAGCTATGCGGTACCTCACAGCTTGCATCTCCAAGGCATTCTGAAGAAAGCAAGGAAGATTAACAGCTAGTGAACAGTGACCCTACAAGCTGCTTTAATCCTCTCATCAGGCTTACCTTTTCCCCATTTTATTGGTGAGGAAACAGATGAAGAATCTCCAGCAGCCTGGTTCTAGAGCCACACTGGGAGGCACATGTCAACACTGGCACTCATTACTTACCTGCTCCTGCTCTACGTCTGCTTCATTTCTCCAAAGAGAAGCCAGAGAGACTGTTAAACCTTTTGGATAATGTTGGTCCTCTGCTGAACTCCACATGGCCTCCATCTCATTCAGAGTAAGAGCCAAAGTCCTCTCAGTAGCGTAGGATGCACTACCTGGTCTTCCTTCCTCAGGCTGCTCTGCTCACATCCACTCCAGCAACTCCGGCTTCTTAGTCACCTGGTGCATTCCAACTGTGACACCTGCTGCTCTCTCTACCTGGACTGCTCTGAGCAACTCATCCTCACCTTCAAGTCTGTGTCAGTGTGACCTTTCAGTGCAGTCTTCCAGGTTCATTCTATTTACAACTGAAATCCCTCCTCTTCCTGCAAAACTTGATTTGCCTCTCCAGCTTTGTTTTCCCCACAGCACATACCATCATTAGACACACTGCTTATTTTACTTTTTCATTTTGTTCATGGTCTATTTCCCTCTAATAGAATGTTACTCCCATGAGGGCAAGGTTTACTGTTTGTTCTGTTCACCACTGTATCTAGAATAGTTCTTAGGATGTAACTGGTTCCCACAAAATACTGAAGCAAATATTAGAAGAATGACTTAGAAAAATGGGCTACAATTCTTAGGAGGGGTTTCTCAGAGGCTTGGAAAGAGATGGTACGGGAGATTAATGCTAGGAGAGGACTAAAAAGGAAAAAGCTGCCCTGGGCTACTATGACATCATCTAACTACAGGTTCCTTACTTGACCTCCAGTTGTCTTTCTCCAGGACAAGGGTTCTTAACTTTGTCTTGTCCCAAGGCTCTTTTGGCAGTCTGATGAAGCCCATGTGTTAGAGTCTGTAAACAAGTCAGGATGGCTCCTGGCATTTTGCCAGGCGCACCATCCAGACTTGTTTACAGACTCTAACATTTCTCTGGCAAAATGCCAGGAGCCATCCTGACTTGTTTACAGACTCTAACACCCATGAACCTTACTCAGGGCAATGTTTTTAAATGCTTAAAATACATAGATCTGCAAAGGAAATTAAATCAATAATTGTTTAATAAGGTCTAGTAGCTGATCTAATGACTCCTATAATTTAAAAATAGCCATGAGTGAGATAACACTGTGATGCAATATGAAAATGTATGCAATTTCCACTGGTTGCAAAGTAAAGGTATAGCTACTACAGTGGTTTGCTGCTTATATTCATGGGAATTCTGATCTTTGGTTGATTTTAGTAAAACAAATACAGGATCCTCTTTTCACCCAAGTTCACAGACTCTCTAAGTCCTATTGTCCAAACCTTAATAGTCTATAGACACCAGCATAAGAATATCTGCTCTGGGATAAGTTTCAGGATTTCCTTTAAAGGGAAGCAAATCAAAATTGACTGGACTTCCATTTTCTCAGCAGCAGAAGGGAGAAGAAAAAAAAATATTTTTCTAAATTCCTTTAACTATAGACAATACTTTTCATTTTATAGTTAGAGACTAGGCCTAAAAACTCAAGTATTTATGAGTTTTAGTGTACCAGGATGAGTAAGTCTCTAACACTGATGAGAAAATCCAAGGCAGGAAAGCAGAGAAATCCCTGCATCAGTGGAACACCCTCTGCAGGGGGAGGGAGGGTATGGACACAAAGATGCGGAAGCAAAGAAGTTAAAATGTTGAAGTATAGATTTACGTAGCCCTACTTATCTTTCTCTTTTCCCTAAAAAGTAAAAGCTATGTTTCAACGTTCTTTATGATCTCTTCAAGGTCTCTGCAGGCAGCTTAGCAAAAATTATGGTTAGGAATTTCCTCTTATCCTGGTTGTCATCTTTACTATTTGGCAAGAAATTGGAAAATATCTCATACCAGAGGACCTTTGTGGAGATTTACAATGCATGTCAGCATTAAAAATGCTCTAGATTCTTGCAGTAAAGAGTCATACATAACTGCACGTGCCCGAGCATTTCTCAGACTTATCTGATCCTATTTTTTTCCCTTTTAATACACATATATATCACAGCAATTATAAGACTTTATTACAATTAAGGACTACACAATTCTTTCCTTTTGGAACATAAATTCCTCTGGCTCAGGGAAAAATGGATTGTTCATCTTTTCATTGATAGTACCTAAGAATACCAGGCATTCTGAAGGTCGGTAAATGGTTGGTTGGTTAGTGGTTGGTGAGCTAGTGGGTGGGCTGGCTGGCTAAATGAATGAATAAATCAGAAACATGAAAATAACCGTTTTGGACCTGGTCTACTGTGCATATTACCTCTGCAACATGTAAGAGACTTTTAGAAACCTTGAGATACGTTTCTAAGAGTAAAAAGCAGTAAGAAAGGATAAAAAAGGAAACTTTCTCAGTGAAAGTTTACATACGTTGTTATACTTAAACAACAAAGGTGAAATCCGATTGAAGAAAAGGAAGATCAATTCTTTCCTAACCATTTCTGTGATTCTGAAACTAGAGATACTATGGTATTTAATGATTAAACTAACATTTCATTTGCATGTTTTGCAGTATTAAGTGTGACACCTTAGCAAAATGTCACATTTCCTAGCAGCCAATTACATTATTTAAATGGAAGACTTGATGATCAAAACTCAGAGTAATCCAAGATAGTTTCTAAATGTAACCTCTATATGCCTGGATCACACTTACAGGAGAAAGTAACAGAAAGACACTCAAGACTTACTGGTTTGAAAAATATAGTAGTTGAATTTCAATCCAGTAAGGTTTTCAAAAACATGTTTTAATAGACCATCTGTTTTCGGATTCTAATCAACTAATGCCACCCACTTCTGAATCTCCAAAGTAGAACTAACAAGAAGTAACACCTGCTGGTTACAGCAGAGTGGAATATGGGATTTTTAAAAAATAAGTTAAAAAAAAAACCTACAAAATTAACATTGAAGGAGCTGAGTAAAATCTTATTATTGCCAAGTCACTATTTTAAGAAAAAAACAGGGCTGAGGATGTGGCTCAAGCGGTAGCGCGCTCGCCTGGCATGCATGCGGCCCGGGTTTGATCCTCAGCACCACATACAAATGAAAATGTTGTGTCTGCCGAAAAAACTAAAAAAAAAAAAAAAAAAAAAAAATATTAAAAGAATTCTCTCTCTCTCTCTCTCTCTCTCTCTAAAAAAAAAAAAAAGACAAAAAGTCAGATGTGGTGGTGAACATCTGTAATCCCAGTGACTCAGAGCAGGCTGAAGCTGAAGGATTGGTTAGAGGCCAGCAACTTAGTGAGGCTCTGTCTCAAAATTTAAAAGGAGCTGGGGCTGGGGATGTGGCTTAGTACTTAAGTGCTCCTGGTACCAAAAGAGGAGGTGTGTGTGTGGGCGGGGGGGGGGGGGGGGGGGGGGAAGAAGGGGGAGAGGAAAAAGAAAAAAAAAACAAAATAGACACACTAAAGAACTCTTCAAAGACCAAGGAATTCCAAATTTACTAAAACTGATAGGTAGTTAAGTTAGAGTCTAAACTTAAGATGGAATGCATATTTCCATTTATCTTTCCTACTTTCAAGAGTAAAAGCTATTTATATGTACATAAATTTTAAATCTGTAGCCAGGAAAAACTTTTAAATAATGATTAAAGTTAAACAGGCTTTGGTGTTTTAATCAGTTGCTGTATCTGTTTGAAAATATAGTCGTCATTTCTATCAGGAATTTCTTCATCTATGGTAGATATAGTACCTAGTTACACATGACCTCATCCAAATTATCAACTTCTGCCAGCCCTCTTTATGAAATACATGTTGAAAGCTCCACTGTCACCATCTAAGCCCAGGGTCCCATCATCTCTGGTCAGAATTACTTTACTCTCTTCCCATCAATTTTCCACACAGTCATAGTGCTCTTCTAAAATACAAATTTTATCATATCAATTCCCCATTTAAACTTTTCGATGGCTTTTCCACTGCACTTGAAGAAAATACAAACTAGTTAATGTGGCTTTCATCCTCTGGTTTTAATGATCTCTTCAATTGCATGAAAGGTTACTCTCCTCTGCACCTTCAGCTAGAGCCAAAATTCGTTTTGAATTCCTAGAATGTACTAGGTTTTTCTAAGATTTAGGCTTCCATACCTGGGTGTTCTGTATCTCAGGATTAAGAATAATTGAGAATCTTTCAGGAATCCCTTCATCTCAATTAAGCTAGAACCTCTGTTATAAGCTCTGACACAATTATCCTACTTCTTTAAAGCACTCAACATGTTGTTATAATATACACATATTTGTAATAATTTGTTTAATGATCATATTCTCACTAGATTAAAAATTCCACATGGCTAAGCCAAAGTCTATTATAGTCACTTTTGAGGACCCCATACCCACAATGTATTTAATAATTTTAGTTTAATGAAATAAAATAAATCCCAATCCAACAAAACAGAGGCAAAAGGCACAAATCCCTTATAATGAAACTTATTTCTAGCTTACCCCAAGTCTATGCCATTGGGAGTCTTTGGAAGTTTTAATCACAAATGAGTCTTTTTAATATTCTCCATTATCCTAGAAGCCATGCCTGGACATATAAAGCATTGTTGGTGTTGTTTTAATTATTGTTGGTTGCTTAAGGCTGAAGTCTTCATTCTAGAAATGCATGGGTCAACCTGGACAGTATCTGAATGCTTGCTTCCTGAGTGGGGTGACAACAAACAACAAGTGACAACACAATTCAGTATTAGAAGCTCTGGGGCCCCTGGGAACTAGAATATTTGGTATTCATCTAAAGAAGACTGTATTCTAAGCTTGTTTAGATACTTCTGTGGTAATTTCAGATGCTCTAGGAAATATTCTTAGTATCTAAATACATGTGTCTTCCATTAGAAAACAGTACATTCAAAAAGCAAAACAGGAACTGCATGTTGCTATAAAATGACATACATATGTAATAAATAAAATTATATATACACACACACACATACATACATACACACACATATAATTTTAAAAAAGAAAGAAGGGAAGGGGAAGAAGTTCTGGGATCAAAATTCCCACTACAATATTTAATGGCTAAAACAATCAAAAAAAGAGAAAACAGTTTTATTAAATTTAGTTGCGTACACCATATATTACAGAAAAATATGTGAAATGGCAGTAAACTGACATGTGAATCTGCATTACATTTTCTGCCTTCTCAGGAAAATGCTTCCCAGTAATAAAGTTTCAATTTTCACAAAAAATATTAATTATTTATGTTAACTGATTTTCTATTAATCAACTTTTGGGTCACATTGTTTCATCTTTCTAGGCTCACAAAAGAGTTATTATTTTTGATAAGTTTTGAAGGAGTTATTTAACACCAAATTAAAAGAAATCCAAGAAAAATAATAACCCTAAAACATAAGTATTTTCCAGTCTATATTTTGTTTTGTTTTGTTTTTCAAATTAGTTGAATTAAATCCCTTAGAACCATCTACTTTCCAGGAGAAAATTTTTTCTTTAGACAGATATTTTATTAAGCAGGCATTGCTACTTATTTTTCCTTATAAAAGTCATTTAAACTCATTTTTTTAAATGTAAAGACTATAGCCAATTCTCATTATTTGTAGACTCATTTTGCATATTTACCTTCTAACTAAAATTTATTCATAACCCAAAGTCAAAACTAAAAGCACATTTATTGTGATTGGAAGATGTGGCAGAGCAGCAAAAATCTGAGTCACCAGAGGGCAAGTTCCTAGTAGAGGCTGAACAAGGTAACACTCTGCCTTTCTTGTTTGAGCTCTCGCTTGTTAACAAGTGTCCTTTTTGCACACTATTTAGCATCACATTTCACCCCTTCCTTCTCCCTCTCTTCTCTTCATTTTTGTTGGTGATTCACTATTGCAATGGCCCCAAGCACAGAGCTAAAGTGCTGTCTAAAGTCCCAGGTTCAAGGATGCTGCCATGTGCCTCATGGAGGAAATATGAACAATCTGAGCACCACTGAAGTCCAAGTCGAAGTGGTACTGGTCACGAGTTCAGTGTTACGGAACCAACAGTACAGACTGAATAAGTTATCTTCAAACAGAAACCCTCATAAAATAAGACTGTGCCTGGTCACCTCATTAATGTATATGTTGTGACCACAGGCTCACAGGAACCTAATCTTATATTCCTCTTAGGAGCAACAGTTCAATATTCATCAATTCGTGGTGGCTTCTCAGAACATAACTATCATTGTTTCTGATTGGAGACAATATGATTTTTATATACAGAAACACTAAAGTAAAGTAAATTCAATAACATTGCAGAATATAAAATTAACATACACAAATCAATTGTGTTTCTATACACTGAAAAAGAAATGAAGAAACCATTTACAATAGAGTAAAAATAATAAAATATTTAGTGATAAATTTAAACAAGGAAGTAAAAGATCAGTACACAGAAAACTATTAGACATTGATGAAAAATATTAAAGAAGAAATAAATAAAATGATACTCCAAATTCATGGATCAAAGGGATTAATATAGTTAAAATGTTCATATTATCCAAAGCAATCCACAAATTTGCTTATATTTCCCCCTAAAAATAAATACAAAACTCCTAAATCTATTTTTATATTAAAAAAATCCTCGAATTCATATGGAACCACAAAAGATTCCAAATGGAAAAGCAATCTTTGAAAGAACAAACATAAAAGTATCACACTTTCTGATTTCACACTACATTGCAAACCAATAGTAATCAAAATACTATCACGTTGGTATTAAAAACAGACACACAGATCCATGGAACAAAGTCAAGAGCCCAGAAATAAACCCAGACATATATGGTCAACTCACATGTGATGTGAGGCCAAGAGCACATAATAGGAAAAGGACAGTCTCTTCAATTAAAGGTGTTTCCATATGCAAAGAATGAAATCAGGTCCCTATCTTACACACTCACAAAAGTTAACTCAACATGGGTTAAAGAATTAAACTTAAAAACAAAAACCATAAAACTCCTAGAAGAAAACAGAGAGAAAATTCCTTCACATTTGTCTATGACAATGATTTTTTTTTTTTGGGGGGGGGGGGACATAACACCAAAAGCACACGTCACAGCAACACAAATAAACCAATGGGACAACAACAAAACGAAAACTGATCATTCCGCACAACAAAGGAGCAATTCACAAAATGGAAAGGTAATCTCTGGAAAGATAGAAAATACTTGCAAACCATAAATCTGATGAAGGATAAATGTGGGAGACCAACCTTGCACGTGACTGGGTCACACTCCCCGGCTGAGTGCTGAAGCGCTCAGTCTCCGAAATGTGGCAGAGCTTTCCCCACCATTCTTGGGTTTGAGGGTCGGTGTCTCGTGCATGGGTATATCTTGCTACAGCCCCATGGTGAAGCTACACTCACCTGTTCCTTTGTAATATAACCCCTTGCCCTGTTTAGGATAGAATTTTCCATGGAAGTGCCTTGTGTGTGTCCCCTTCACTTACTGTGCCTTTGGGTGTGGCCTACCCAGGTGTCAGACAACCTGCTGACAGTGGACATCATGAAGATAGACTCAGCCCCCTGAACCTGACCCCTTGCCTCATTTGAGTAGCTTCTCCTCAATAAAAGGGGTCAGCGCGTGCTCTCGCTCTCTCTCTTCCTGTGGACCTTTAAGGTCAGAGGAGCCATCACAGCGACCCCAAAGCAAAAGGTATTTGTGTCTCTTGTGTGGTTATTTCGTGCAGCCCAGTCAGCCCAGTTCAACTGGAGTGAACCCTGAGCCTTTTAGTCACGAGAACAGAAACCCGGCAGATAAACATCCAAAGTAGCTAAGGAATATATACAATAGCAAAAAGCTCAAATAATCTCTTTTAAAAACAAGTACATGAAAATATTCTCAACATCACTAATTATCAGAGAAAAGCAAATTGAAACCACAATGAGATATCATTTCACATCTGTTAAGATAGTTATAAAAAGATAAGAGTTAACAAGTGTGAAGAAAAGAGAATACCAGTGGAGATAAAAAGTGGGGCAGCCTAAGATGAAAAATATATGGAGGATTCTCAAAAAACTTAAAAATAGAGATAGGGATCTCTAAAAACATAACCTAATTAATAAATGGGAAAATGAATTAAACAGACACTTCTCAAAGAATAAATAAAAATGGTCAACAAATATATAAAAAAAAGTCCATCATCATTAGCAAGTATGAAAAATGCAAATCAAAACTACACTAAGATTTCATCTTACAACAGTCAGAATGGCAATCATCAAGAATACAAATAATAATTGCTGAAGAGGATGTGGAGAAAAAGGAACACTTGCACTGTTGTTGGAACTAAGCAATATTATTATTATTATTATTATTATTATTATTATTATTATTTTTGTTCTGATAACAAACCCAAATGAAGCACTTCGATAATCTCTGACTCTGAAGAGGGCTTCTATGTTCCTAAGCTTGACCTGTACAATATGATAGCCAAATGTGGCTATTAAGCACTTGACACGTGGCAGTTTAGATTGAGAAATGCTCTGAACATAAGATGTGTGATAAATTCCAAAGACTTAGTATAAAGTACCAGAATGTAAAATATCCCATTAATGATTTTGATATTATTATATTCCTTATTATATTTTGGATATATTGAATTAAATAAGATATATTGTTAACATTATCTACTTCTGTTTAATGTAATTACTAAAAAATTTCAATGTACTGCATTACAGATGTAATACATGTAAGTGTAATACACCATTGTATTTGGACAGTGCTGGCCCCAAATTACTCCAGCTATAAGGTCTATTCTATTTGCTTCCCTTCTCCCATCACATTCCTTTGGTCTCAGAGTTAAATATATCAGGAGAAAGATGAGTCACCTGATAAGAAAAAGCCAAGGAACACGAAAGAGTGTTTGCCGCCTTCTGCTGTGACGTGCCACCTGGTTCTGGTGGCAACTTCAGTGCTCACCTCCGCTCAGCCAGCTCAGAGCAACACTCTGCTCTTCAGTACCTGCCACTCTCCCTCCATGCCCAATGAATGGGCTACAGCCCTGTAGTTTCCTCTTCTACACACACCACCACCACCCAAAGCTCCACATCAAACCAGATTTACTGAAGTTTTGAGAAGACAAAGAGGATACACACCCCAGAAACCCAAATGCCTCAGACTTAGGTTTTAGAAATTCTGTTCTGAAAAATCTTCTCACTCACCCAGTCTCTGACCATGGTCTCTTCCCCCAGGCTTCAGCCTCTGCTGGCGCCTTGGCTTCTCTCTTCCCTTTTATTTCCAAACTCCTATTATTTTCTCATGCAAACAGTTTAGCTATACTTTCAGGGTGCTTTTTTGGTTGTTGTTGTTGTTTTTAATCCCATCCAACCGATTCTTCTAGAGCCTCCATTCCCCAAATAACACATGCCTGTATTTCTCCACAAAACTCTTCTTGCCTGAAAATTCTAGTATTGGCCATTAAGATACTTGAAACTTTTTATTTAAATTTTTTAAACTCTACCCCAATGCCAGCAGCCTGCTTCCAGTCTTCTCAAGGACATGCAGTAACTAGGAGAGAAGGAAACCCCTCTGCAGAGAATGCAGCAGGGCCTTTTGCACTAGGAGCTGGCCTCAGCCTACCATGATCGCAGATAACCTGAGAGTTGGTGTCAGATACAATCTGGTTATATTTATCAAAAACTACATAACGATTAATTATAAGG